GCTGCTGATCCGTCGCACTGACTGACTGTCATGTGTTCTGTTTTAGGAGGAGGAGACGCCCGTGGTCGGTCTGCTGGACGATCTGGTGCCCGCCGAGCCACCGGTGCGTATCCGTCTCGCTCTACGCGGGTTTCACCAAAATTTGATTTATTAGCGAGTAGCGATTTATTAGCGATTTATTAGCGACAAACGTTTTTGAGCTATGATGGAATCGTTTTGGATGCAAAGCTGATTTAAAAACTGTGAATTTTACAACGGCACAATGGTCAATGAGTTAGTCATGTTCGGCAAATAATGCGAATATCCAATCGATTTCCAGGGTTATTCAACGACTTTTTAATTGTCTGTCAATGTCTGCACTGTTACATGTTTTGCTGCGTTCTTTCCGCTATCATAAGTGCTTAACGGATATTGGATAGATTATTCGTCCTATTGCATGACCTATTGATCTTTTCACACGCACTACAGCGTCCTGTTTGACTGTGCTGTTTCCTATATCGCCAGGTGGCCAGACCAGTTCCGTCAGCCACCAGCCGACCGCCAGAGGTGTCCAACCGACCACCAGCAGTTTCCAGTCACCCCCCGCCGCCGCCACCGCTGCCACCACCGCCACAGCCGCCCGTTCAACCGCCGAGTGTGTTCTTCTGCGACGTCTGTGACGCACCATTCACATCCACCGAAATGCTGGCTAGTACGTAGTGTGTGTTGGACGTGGTGGATGATACTGTTGTTTATCTGAGCGGGTCTTGTGTTAAGACCTAGTTTTTGATGTCGAAAGTGATATGCATAGTTGTTGTGAGGTCTTGTGAATTGTTGCGTGCTTTACCAGACTGCGCCAGGCGACTATTCGCTTCCGGAGCGCCGGTATTATCCCACTATACTCAGCGCCTCCACTGACTCCTCTGTGACCTTTGACAGGTCACCGCAGCACCCACCCGCTGCTGCGCTTCCAATGCGTCTTCTGCGCCGAGCGCTGCGCCACCACGAAGGAGCTCAGCCGACACATGAATGAGGCGCACGCCGACCAGCTGATGCCCTGTGGCCACTGCGACAAACGGTTTGCCACCAAAGCCGGTCTCAAGCAGCACGTCAAACAGCACGAGGAGAGGAGGCATGTCTGCCCGCTCTGCCCGCGCAGGTGGGTGAACTACGGGAATGACGCGGCGGCGAGAGTTGGGTGACTTGTGAGGAGGCTGCCAGAAGAAAGTTGGACATTGTCTGGACTTTTTGGAGATGTTTGGTATGGCCTGCGTCTGAATATTCATTTATTAGTTTTGTAGTAGTATCTAATGATAAATTTATTCGGACCAGCTGTTTTCTTGTAACCTTTGTACGTGACGGTGTGTACTGACTGGATTTCTGTCTAGTTTTTTTTTTCTTACTGCAGTGTCCTATATAATATTTCGTGATGGTTTGCCTCCCCAGCTTGCCAACAAAGTAACCCGGCCCTCCCGTCTCCCCCGTACCCAGGTTCGTCGCCCTGCACGACCTACAACTGCACTCTATCTACAAGCACAGCGACGAGCGGCCGTTCAGCTGTGATGTCTGCCGGCGCACCTTCAAAACGCTCTGCATTCTGCGCCGGCACAAACTCCGACACACCGGCCTGAAACCGCACACCTGCGCTCACTGCGGTACGTCAGACTGGATAGGGGCGCCATACCATGACGGTCATTGGGTGATCGTGTATAGCTCCACTCCTTACGGAGTATTTCTAAATATTTTATGTGCGATGACGGATGAAATGATCCACTTTTGTCACTGTTGAAAAATAGCCATCTTGTAGAATAGCCCTATAAATAATTTCCTTGTGGCTTTGAATTTCAACTAAAAATTGTTTGTACGAAGGAAAAACTCGTCGCTACCGGTATACACACGTCTGACGTGTGTTCCTCTCCATGTGACCTCCAGGCATGACGTTCACCCACAAGTTCGCCATGGAGGCCCACGCGGTAAGTCACCAGTCGCACCGGCTCAAGTGCGCCACCTGCGGAAAGAAGTTCGGCCTTCAGCGCTCTTTGGAGCAGCACATGAGGCTAATGCACCGACAGGAGGTGTATGTCAGCTGAGTTACACCGACAGAGAGTGTTTGTCAGCTAAGATACACCAACAGCTGGTGTTTTATGAGCAGCTGAGGGACACCGATATAGGAGGTGTTTGTTAGCTAAGTTACACCGGCAGCAGGTGTTTGTCAGCTGAGGAACACTACCAGCGGGTGATTGTGAGCTGTGTTACACCGACAAGAGGTGTTTTGTCAGTTGACGGACAATGACAGGTGTTGGCCAGTTGACGGTACGGACCAGATTGCTGTGATCGGTATGAATGAAGAAATATCATAAGTCAGTTATACTTTATTGGACTTGGATGTGTGTACTCAGTGTATTAATATTTGAGTCTGTGTAACTGGATACCAATCAGTTGGCAGTGATATTTTGTGTCGCCTTTTGAGGTATGATCGGAGTCGTATCCGCTCGTGGTTTCTGTTCAGGCCAGTGTTCTGACATAAAAAGCAGACGTCATTGCAGACCCTGCGCGGTTTACGGAGCCGGGCTGGAAGTCCGGCGCTGTACTGTAGCGTGATGCTGCTGGGCTTTCTCGTCTACCTCAGGAGTCACGCCACACTGATTGTCCGTATTATGAGGCGGAACGCCGTTTATAACAATGCATTACATTTTCAACTGACAGTGTTGGCGCCCAACGGAAATACAAGAGTGCGCTTTGCAACATTTTTGAACGTTTTTGTCCGTTCAGTAGACCGGCGTGGTTTTACATCGCGTAACATAACGCGTCACACATGTATCTGCCAATCACATATGGGACAGTACAAGCTGACGGACATGATCTCGCGTCGGACAAATTTTGTCATAAATGATCTACTGACGCGTGCACTGTGGAATGAACAACGAACCAAAAACTTGAGGACAAATTCACAATACAGGCGTGCTGTAGACATTCATCGACCGCCTACGACAGCAATATTTTCACATTTTCATTCCCTTTCTGTTTCATTCGGGGCCTGCCCTTCCATCCTAAGTTCACGGGTCTGGGGATAGAACATGTGCCCCAGTTTAGTACCATTCGGCGAACAGCATCTGTTTCAGTCCAGTTTCAGTCCAAAACTGGCCGGTGACACTGGCTGTTCCAGTCCTCATCAGTGGGCAGTCCATGGGCGGAGGGACATGTATTCCCTTCAGTAGCAATTTAAGGCAGGTGACTGGCCGGGTGTTCCAGTCAACAACAGCCCATGAGCAGCAGACATATTATGTTCCAGTCCAGTACCAGTCCTTGGGGAACGGACAGGTGCTCCAGTCCACTTCATCAGTCGTCCATGGGCGGCGGCGGCGGGATGTTGTCAGCCTCCTCCGTGTCCTCTGTCCCTCCGTCCTCTGCCTCTCCCTCCGCCGTTCCTTCGCTCTCCCCGGTGGTTTCCGTGTCTCCTGTGCCCTCAGTACTCTCTCCCGTTCCCTCAGTGCTCTCCCCACCCTCCACCAGCGGCTGACGCTCTGGGTCGGTCTCGGACGGACCGCCTCCACCGCGACTCGGCCACAGAAGTATCACCCAGCCCCTGGCCGGGGAGAGATGGCGGCCCGCGCTCAGCGCGCACGCCTGGGACGTCTGCACCAGCCGGTACGCCATCAGCGCCGCCAGTTTCACACCAAACAGCCACCAGAGCGGCGCCACCGTCGAGCTGGCATCGCTGGCTACCGCCTCTGCCACGGCGCTCGCGCAGCCGCGGTCAAACACGGTCAGGTTGTTGGCTGGGTCGTACGCAAACATGACCCGGTTAGCGAACTGCTGCCGGCAGTAGATGGGCGACTCGGGGTCACAGCAGCTGAAGGGCACTTCATTGAAGAAGAGCTCGTTCTCTTTTGGCGCTGTGAGCTCCGAGTTTCCGAGCTGCGGGACGAGTGCGTTCTGAGCTTCGATAGAGCCGTACTTGGCTAGTGAGTAGTAGGACTCATTGGGTTTAAGGCCAACCATCAGACGTCCGAGTAGGTTCATGTAATAGCGCTCCTTGTAGACGCCCGGCCGCAACCAGTCTGTCAGGAACCAGTCGGTGAACCCGCCGGCGCCGCAGCAGCTCAGCTCTTGCTGCACCGTGTCGAGATACACCTTCAGTTGCGGATCGTACAGGTAGTCCCACATGGCGTTGGCGAATGCCGTGTGGTACTGACGCTCTAGGTCGGGTCCGCCGGCAAGCTGGGGCCCGCGGGCAGCCCTGGCGGCCACCAGGCCGGCGGCGGCCAGCTCCGCCAGCACGTACAGGTAGCCGGCGAGCAGGGCGCGGCGCCGGCGGGCGCGCTCGTGGGAGCGCGACAGCACGGCGAATATCACGCCGAGCGCGCTGGCGGCTGTGGCGGCCGCGCCGATGGCGGCCACCTCGTGTGCAGCGCTCTGCATCGGCAGGACGGTGGCGCCGCCGGCGAACGACACGGTGCTGCCGTCCGGCCAGTACCTCAGCAGTGGCTCGTGATCTATCGCCGGCGCCCCGCCGAGCCGCAGCGCCGGCTCCAGCTCCGCCAGTGGCGTCAGAGCGGCCAGCAGACCCAGCTGGCCGGCGGTCAGACCCAGCAGCGCCGACAGGAAGGCCACCGTCTGCCGGCCGCGCTCCGAGAGGCGCAGCGGCGGCAGGCCGACACCCTCCCGGAACTCGGACATGGACGGGACAGGAGCCTTCGCGGACCGGACCAGGTGGTGCTACACGGCTCCTCGCGAGGCTGTCCTACCTACAGTATCGGCTACATCAGATGGTTTCCTCACACAACCCTTCACGCTCGGCAAATACATATTTATCGTAGCCCACTTATGAATGAAGACGCTCACTTAAATCATACCATGTATGGTGTCAACCATGTGTTTTTTTACTGGCGTTCCTAATGAGTCTATTTTCTTTTCTTTTCAGAATCATGTGAAAAATACACCACCCACGTGAAATATGACTGATACACCCACACCAAGTAACATATCGATGTAAACCATATCCAATGCCAAATAAAGCATTACAAGGGAGTACAAAGTATATTCGGCATTCTGAAAGATATACCAAACTAGCAATCACATTATCATTGCATTGATAGGTTCGAAGCTGCGGTAAACCAGACAGCTGAAGGCATTTAAATATGACATTACTCTACTGCACACTGGTAAACACCTGAACAACCATGACTCATCTACTTTACCTCAATAGTCGATACAGAGTCGTAAATCGTAATTCACTTTGCACCTAACACAGCATCGCATTGACGTTTTACGGGCTATGGAGACGTCCGACCAGAAATATATCGACAAATTACTTAACAGAGCTTACACAACATCACTTTGCTAACAAATGTCTGGTACGCATGAAAAAGCAGGCTCCAACGCCTTGGTAGACAGACATTACGCGCACATCACCTATATCACAAATATATCATTTCCACAGCTGTCTCCGACAAACTCCCGCAGGCACATTTCCAAACGCCAAGCCCACCCATTAATCATTGTCCCGCTCCCACCACTCTCCCTCATTTCTCCGCTTCTCTGTCCAGCTCGGGTACCTCTGGCATTCCGGACAGTTCCATATCGAGCAGCATCTGTCCGTACCCCTTTCCCTGCGGGTCAGGCCGCAGTGAGGCAATCCCTCCGCCTCCCAGTGACTGGCGTAGCACAAAGTTGAGCGCGTGCACCCCGGGGAGCTCGTACCGGTCCACCAGCGAGGTAGGGTCGACCCCAGCGGGCAGCAGGCGGGTGAAGTAGGCGGCCACCCGCTCTGCGGTCAGCTCCCGGCAGAGGTGAGGGTAGAGGGCCGGGCTGCGCGCCACCACTCCGATGTTACACGAGTCACCCTTGTCGCCGCTGCGAGTGAGGGCCACGCGTTCCAGGCGATAAGTGAACGCTCCCAGCGGCTTGGCACCGGCGGGGGGAGCCTCGGCAGGCTCATCAGTAGGGGTAGACGCGTCTGCAGCGGTCTCAGCCACCGTGAAGGGCACGTCGGCGCCATCCACGTCCACCGAAACGTCCACATCACGTTTGGGGACGAGGAACGACACGAGCCGCAGCACTGGCGTCGGTTTGGGCCGGCCGCCGACCAGCCCCGTCAGGCCGGGAGCCATGCCAGTGCCGGCTGGGGCCACCTCGCGGCCAAACACCTGCAGAGCGCGCTTATCGGCGTGGCTGACAGCTAGCCAGAGCACGGCCTCGCGGCGCGGCGGCGCCGGCCCGTCTGGGTACGTCTCTTCGGCTCCCAGCACCTGCACGTGCGTCCGACTGAAGTCTGCCAGTTTCAGCTCGGCGAAGATGTCCCGGCAGCGCGCTAGAATGGCCTCGGCTGTGCGGTGCGCCTTCTCTGCCGCCGCCGGGCCGATCACGGGGCAGACGGCCGTGGCGCTGTAGCCGTCGAGGTGCGTGCCGCACACCTTGTAGGAGTCGGTGGGCGGCCGGCCGCGGGCGCCGCTCACTGCCACACCGTCAGCGGTGGCCGCCAGCTGCACCCGGCTAAAATCGCACGCCACGTCGGGGAGCAGGTAGCGGCGCGGGTCACCAATCTCGTACACCAGCTGCTCGGCCACAGTGCCGACCGACACCAGGCCGCCCGTGTCCTGCGGCTTGGTCAGCACCAGGTCACCATCCGCGCCGCAGTCGGCGATCGGGAAGCCGATACGATGCCAGTCGGGCACGCGGCGCCAGTCGGTGCTGATCCCACCGGTACTCTGGGCGCCGCACTCGAGCAGGTGGCCAGCCAGACTGCCGGCCGCCAGTCGGTCCCAGTCGTCCCAGCGCCAGTCGAACGCGTGCGCCAGCGGTCCGAGCGCCAGCTGGCCGCCGACGCCGGCCTCGATGAAGTCAGGCGCGTAGCCGAGCTCGGGCTGACGCGCGCGCACCGCTGTCAGCAGTGACATGGTGATCTCAGAGAGGTAGTCGAACACGAGGAAGTCGAGCTGGCCGTGGCGGATCAGCTGCGGCGCCGACACGGAGGTGTCACCCCAGAAGCCACTGGCGCAACCGATACGGACCCGGCGCCCGTCGCTGCCGGCCGCCGCTGTCGACATGGGACGACTGAGCGACGCCAGCCGGAGCCCGGCCGACCTCAAACAGCCCACAGAGGCAGCCATCGTGGCTGGTAGCAACTCTGGAAAGGAGACCTTGTTATAAAACCCATACATGAAATGTACTCATTGTTCTAATATGAGCGGGGATGACCATCACAGTAGCCAGAAAATCATGGGTTCAAGATGTTCTAAAGAAGGTCTTGCAAAGTCATCAAGTTTTCATAACATGAGCTGTAATACTAATATTCACACTTTATCCAATGATTCCATAGTTATTGATACCTGACTGTTCACATCAAATGATGAAAGCCTAGTGCCCACTAGTCAATAAAAAAAAAAATTTAGAAGCTTTCCTGAGCTCCTACAGATTTTGACTTTTGGTTTACTGGTTATTTTAATATAATATAAAACTTTGGCCTGTAAACATTTAAATATTGCTGACAGGATGAAAACCATGGTACTGTTGCACTAAGACTATGGTCAAAAAGTGACTCAGGGTTATGCTTCTATTGCTTAATCATCATGATATCAGCAAAATTTGGTGAAGAAGTTGCTATTCTTATGCTACTGTATGGTGGTCTTAGTTGGTATTCATGTTGGGTTTGGGGCTTCTGGCAAACTACATCAGTTGGGCAAACTAGACTTTAGGAATCAAAATATGGAGGCATCAATAATTTGATTCTGGTGGGAGGAGCCATGACCAAATATGGGCATAGAATCAATTTTTTGATTCATTTGGGTACACTTTTGACTTCAAATGTATCGTTACGGTTGAAAAAAGGCCCATGACGGTGAAATATTTCTTTAAAAAGGTAGAAAAATGTGGTAGGTTTGCAAAAAGTGTTACCTCAAAACTAAGAAATTGTCCCTTTGGCCTTGGGAATGGGAAAAAGACAGAGGCACTGTCCATCACGTAAAAGCTGTTTTGAGGAAATCACAGTGTATGTTATTTTTGTATCATGAATTGCATACTAAACAATCAGTATTTGTGTAAAATGGCAAAATGAAATTTTGAAACCCCTAATTATCATTGTTGTAGTGCTTGTTTATTTATTATATGGTTTTTACCTGTTGCTTCAGTTTTTGTATTCTTGACATTTAAAAATTGTGAATTGTTATCAAATGTAGTGAAGGTAAAGTACAACAGTGCTATAGGTATCTGTTGTGGTACTGAGGATACCACTAAATGAGAATAATAGCAAGATAAATGCTATATTCTTCCAAGTAATTGTTGCCTATCTGTTAACATTACCTGTGAATCAAAATAATGATTAGCCAGCTGATGGGGAATCAATATTATGATTATCTGTTTAAAGTGAATCAATTCCTTGATTGCCTTTCACTACCTATAGAATTCAAATTGTTATGATAGGAGCAATATTATTTTGCTTAGGAGATACTTCCAGCATCTCTGTTCAAGGTCAGGCATGCTCGTTCTTGAAACACTCTCTTATTTTTATGTGTTTGGTAAGTTAGAAATGGTCTGCATTTATGCCCAAATATGGTCATAAGGAATCAATCTTTTGATGCCTCCATATTTTGATTCCAAAGGTCTAGTTTGCCCAACTGACATATTTGCTAAAAGAACATTTCAATATATAACTGGCTTATGTCTCCATGTACCTTTCACAAACGCTTGTAAACACAAACACACAGTTCCTAAAGCCATATAACCAGGTTTAGCAGGAGAATCATGACAGAGCAGGATGAACACTTGGCAGAGGTAGGTGTGACAGTACAAAATCAAATTCTGCAAATTTCAGACCAACATATGTGCTGCCTCACTAAAGCACCAGAATAAATATAATATTGATCCATGGTGCCAATGGATATGGTGTAAGCCAGCGTCCAAAGCCTGCACCCCAGAGCAAAATGCGATCTACACCCAAGTGAATGAAGTGATTCATTTAAGTTCAGGATTTGGCCATTGCAACAATACCCAACTATACTTTTGTGTGACAACTTGAAATAAGTTAGATAAAGGGTTGAGTAGCAGGTTGCAGTTTAATGATTTAATAAAGGTATTTATGCTTAAAATGGTGGCTTTGCAAAGTTTTGTAGGTATGGATCAGGATCCATTTTTAGGTGGAATCTGAAAACCGGGCGCGGAATCTGAAAACAAACAATTATTGGGATATTCTCCCCCTCTGGGTGCCTTTAACAGGCTAACGTGATTAGGTCTAGCGAATTTCAAGATCCTTGATTAAATCGGCTCAGGGGCTATGTTTTCAGATTCCACCCATTTTTGCATGCAAGGTTTTGAAATATTAAGTCGAAGTTACAGAAAATCGAAATACAAATCATGCAATGCAATCATGAAATGCAACTCTGGCACATCTGGCCTAAAGATTCAATTTTTATCCATTATATTATTGACCTTTTAAAGGTGTTTGAATTTTATTAGACGTTTGTTGATGATGATGGCAATTTGAAATTGTTTGTAAACAACTGAAAAACCCTGAACTTTCAGAATCACAAACAAAAACACAAGCAAATAGCTATCTATCGTCAGATCTATCGTGAAGCAAGTGAAGCAACAACCAAGGAGGCATCAAAAAAGTGAAGGCTGCCATATGAGCATGCCTAATTTCAGCTACCACATAAGGAATTTCTTCTACGTTTTGAAGAAAAAGCTTTTAGAAGATCGTTTAAAAAATCATTTTCTGATACACTATCAAAATGATATTTTCATATCTTATACGCTACGTTTTCATATTATAAAATTTCCTATTTAAGGTTCAAAGCTATCTGACAGAATATGAAGCACAAAATATTTTTTTTACTTTTTTAAGAAAATCCTTCAGCTACACAGAAGCTACAAATAAGACGCAATAGCGACATTCACTTCAAATGTGACGCCGCCAACTTTTTACGGATGGTAAGTGGTTTTGTCGGATTTTATTGGTATATGATCGAGAAAATAGCAATTGTTTGGCAATTGAATGTTTTCGTTACTTCAACTCTTCAAACTGAGTAGCAAATGCATAAGAATTACCACGTATCTGCTATCTGGTTTGTCTCAACAGTACCTAAAGATCGAGATTGAGATGTGATTTCTCCTTAGTTTGAGCTTGGAGTCCATATTTTTTCATTGTTTGTTTGAAAATTGTTTTTCAGTTAATTTTTAACCTGGTATCTTGAATCCCAATTCGAAATAATCTCCTCTATTTTCAATTATCTTTGTTTTACATAAACAACAGTTCAAGCTTGAGTTGGCACAGTAAAGCTGGGGTCGCTGTAGGTGTTAACCGGTAAAAGTGTAGTTGAAGTCCGAGTAAAAAGCAGTCTAACCTGACCTCACCTTACCTTTTAACCAACAACCTACCAAGGTCACCACACCAACCTAACCATAAACCAAGTGACTGGTAATCAATCATTCTACAACCTACCTATAGGTACCTACCGCCAATGGTGATGCCAGCTTTACTGATGCCCAACAGTTTGCACAGCTACTATTCATAATGCCAGCTTGTGTAGGGTGCTTGTCCTATGTATTGTCATATTTCTTTTTAATTTTATCCTCTCTGCATCATTAATATTGTGAGTATCGTTTAAAAGAAATTTGCTGCTTCACTGGTCTTTGATATTCTAGCTCCCTTATTATTTGTCCTCTTAGAACAACAAACAAATCTTCGATTGGGATGAATGCTAGACTTGAAAACATAAAAGTCATAACTTCAATGTACTGTTCATTTGCTATTTTGGATCAGCATGCTATCAGCTTCCTTGCACTTTCAGCATCTAATTGGTGAGTTTTTTTTTGGGGGGGGGGGGCAACAGATACCAATAACTTCCTATCACTATTGACTATTGGCTATTGAGAGGACTGGTGATCTTGCAGTAGCAGTCAGTAGCAGTAGCAGTCTCTCATTGAAAGTCATTCCCAGTAAAGTACCTCTGTAGACATTAGGTGTTAAAACTGATTTGGTTGTTAAGTAGGTTTTTTTTTTTTTGGTAATACTGAAGCTGAGGTTCCCATAACTTTCAGGGATTGAATTTGCTTCAAAACAACAAGTCTGACTTAACTCAGCCTAATGTAACATAACCAATTACTGGACCTAACACAATAAGCCCTACCTAACCTGACCTAACTAACCCTATACACCTACTTAAAGGAAAAGGGTCACCTTTAACATAGGGTTTGAAACTGAGATGGCCATCTTGTAGCCCGTGTCCGAAAACCCCGAGAGTGTCCCACCTTACGGCCGATTTCGGCCTCCATTTGTAGGTATCGGCAATTTTAAAAGAAAATATGCCAGGAATGCGTCCTTATCCCAGGAATGCGTTCTTATCCTGTAATACAGCCACCCGCGGCGAGGCTTTGGTTTTTAACCAATCAGCTCCAATCAGCTCAGCTTTAACCAATCAGCTAATTTGACACAAGCCGACGAGACTGTCTTCTGAAGGCTGATTGGCTTGAGTGTGATGTCATCGCTATGACATCATACAGAAGGTGCGGTAGAGAGTACAAACATAGTACCAATATGTTAAATAGTTTGACATACTTTTTTGCGAATTATGCACTTCTGGCACCAGATTTAAAAAGAACATGAAAAATAATAATGTCAAAATGAAAAGCAACGATATCTTCATATTTCACGAAGGTGGCACTTTTCCTTTAACGCCTAATAAAGACTGGGTTGGGTCAGATATGGTTGGGCTGGGTGATTTCCCCTCAATGGATAATCATGACATATGCTGCACAGGAGTGGGGTTACGGTAATTTGGATGAAAGATTGTTGCAGAAAAAATGCCCTTAACCCTCGCACGACCAGGCCATTTCTCATAACACGAACGACCAGGGGGGGGGGGTTGTTACGACCCCCCCCCCTGGCGTTTCGAAACGGAAGGTCGTAGAGCTTAGCGGAAAAAACCAACGGATTGCTCTCAACGAGATCTCGCGATTGGTGGTATATTTTTTGGCCCTAGGTCAACATTTGACCTACTTTTGACCGGTCAAAGGTCAAATTTTCGGAAAAATAGACTTTTTTCAACTTTCGGCGGCGATTGCGGCAAAACGGTGGGAGATATCGACTTGAAACCTTCACTATCGTGTTCCTTGATTAATTCTCTATCGTTTGGTATGTATTCCGTTTCCCTAGCTCTAAAAATGGCGCGTTGGGAGCGCCGGAAGTCGGCAAGGTCACAGTCGGCGGCAGAAATTCGAAAAATCAAAATTTAAATTTTTGAAATCTGATTGTATTTTTGGATTTGGGAGGTCCATTTGCTCCCTATAGAAGCTAATATTGCTGCATATTCCCATTGAGGTGACAAGAATTAGCAAAATAGTGGTTCGGGCGCTTTTCAAAAATAGTACCGGACGCTGTTCCTCTTGTGACGTCATAGCTCCGTGACCTGACCTGACCCGGTCAAATTTCTTATACCATATGATAGCCAATACTTGCCCCAACATGCATGGGAAGTTTCATCACGATCCATCAACCGATGTCCGTACCACCGGCAGGAAACCTCGGGCGTTGGCACTCAGTTTGTGAAAATCCGGCCGGAGGCTGTACCTCTTATGACGTCATAACTCCGTGACCTGACATGACCCGATCAATTTTTTTCGTCAAAAGATGCGCAAAGGTTGCCCCAAAGGGTGTTGAAAATTTCAGCCCGCTACGACAAGCCGTTTAGCGTGCACTTCGAAAAAAACCTCAGGGGGGGGGGTTGATACAACCCCCCCCCCCCTAGGCGTTCTAGGGTTAAATCCGACTTCTACTGGTGTTAAGTCTCCTCGGAAGGCAAACCGCTGGGCTCATACTATGTAAATCGGAAAATTTATTAGCGAAAGAGCTGAAAAAGACCTATCGGATGGCTTTTCCGCGATTGTTAGTTCCGGCGTTCGGGGTGAAAACGTCCTCCCAGCCTGGGACCACGGACCCGGTTCGTATAAGGTCAATTTGTGACTTTGGTCCTTTCAGATTGCGTTTTAAAGCATTGGACCTGTTTCATTGAGTCTTGAGAGGATTACGATAGATGTAACTGTTCCCCCTTTGTTACATGATGAGGTAATCGTGAAAAATCCCTGTCAATATTTTTTCTTCTTATTTGCCGTCTGTATACAAAGTTATCAACCTGAAGTCAGCTCTTTCGGCATTATCCTGAATGAGCAATGATCGATCGGTTTCCTTATCTGCACTTTTGTAGTTTTTTTCACGAACAACGGCATTGAACATTGTTGGCTACCATTGCTAAGCCATAAATGTTGATTAGACGGTCTACATTGACTTCGGTATTGACCTGAGCGAGCATTTGACGTCGATACTTTCTAAAGTACTCGACATGAGTCATCGAACGTTTTGTCGCGTCTTCCTAAATTTCTGAGGTACCTAATTGGTATGGCCTTCTCCATCACCACGGCGAAGTTTGCTGAGACTGTAGCACGCTACATCTTGAACATTTAACGTAGTATCTTTTCGGCACGGCTCGGTACGGCAGTTCCCCCCCCCCCCTCGCAGTCCGGTCACAGGCCTAGCCCTCCATTCACACACCCGTCGCTGCTACCGGGTGACGCACAGCTGAGCGGAGCGCTGCTGCTGCGCTCTCCTCCCCTCTCATTATTCACTACCCCCCCCCCCCCCGTCACCAGGCCCGCCATCCCCATTCAGCACTTTTCCCCAACTCCCTCAACGAGCACTGTCCGTGAGAATAGCCCGCAGTAGACACATCTGCGAGAAGACGATGCCGGTCACATCAGTACGAACCGCCGAGGCACAGCTGAGTCGACAAGCTACGTCAGAACTGCGGCCGGCGGCGGCGGCGAGCGAGCACGTTAAGGTACTCTGTCACTTGTCACGTACTCTGTCAGGTACCACAACAGCTGCGCCGCGCTGAGTCCCACGGAGGGAATGGCAAAACCAGAAAGATCCTACGGCAAGCAAAAACGCTGTAGTTCCAGAGGTCTTCGCAATGGGCAGCCGTTAAACTCTCATTACGACGCTCGCCTATGGAGACAGCTACCGCAGGATGAGCGATCCGAGCCTCCTCAAATAACGCTGGATCAGTAAGATATGTCAACAGATCATGGAGCAGTGTCAAGGATGGATGCCGGCTGGAGCACACAGCCTCCTTTGTCGGGCACAGCAACCCAGGGTGAGTGAACCTGGCAAAATAGCCGGGTGACCGACCTCACAATGGCCTCATGAGGTAGTTCCAGAGATCTCCGCAGAGGAAGAAGGCGCTGACTTACGGCCACGCCCCGGTACGGTGGGCGGAGCAAGAGTGACGTCACAGGGGCGTTGGCGGCAGACGAAACGGAAGGAAACAAAAGTTTGAATAAAATGAAATTGAAGAATCAAAATTAAAACTCGAAAATCACAAACCTTTCGTGGATTGTTTTATGTCAGCGATTACTAAAATGATAAAGCACTCAACACGAAGACGATTCGACGGCCAAAAATTGCAGGCACAGAGGAGCAAGGTGACTAAACAGGACAGAGGGCGCCATCTTACGGCCCCACCCACCAGAAGAAGGCAGAGGAAGATGACGTCGCAAGGGCGTGGCAGTCACCCCTCCCCCCCCCAACTATAAAAGG